ACATCATTTCTAATTTTTTATTAAGTAATTTATTTAAACTTCATATACCATCTATTAAGTAGACTAACCCCAATAAAAACTCTATTTTCTAGAGAAATGAAAACTTCTAAGGTCTTAAACCTCTTTAATATTCATACTATGTCAGTGCATGATGTAGCTATGCAATAAAACAAAATTTTCATATTTTCTTATTTTTCTTGTAATATGTGGGCTTAACCCCTATGAAAATACTGAATTTTCTGATAAATACTATCTATAATATTTAATCTCTTAAGTGTTATTTACAAATACGTAATCACACCATAATATTTCTTGTTATTTACTGGAGTTTTTCTTTAATACTAAGCCCAAAACCCAAACTATATAATTTATCATAAAAAAAAAGTAAGCCCAAAACTCTATTCCATAAATAACTGTCGGTTTAATTTAAGTAATGTGGTTTAATCAACTATATGACTTGTATTATTTGTAACACTCTAGAAATGGTCCAAATTTAAATGAAAATTTATATCAGTAGATAAAAAGAATGACTCTATTTTAATAGAGTAGATGCCGCCACTTTACTTCCTTTTCTTTCAAATTTTTTTGTAAGATATTTGTAATAAGTACACTACGAGAACTAATATCTCATCTTCACGCCATTATGTTACTACAATAATGTACACTTTTTTCGAAGGTTATAGTCTCATCAGTCATCATCACCAAGCCATGATACTTCATTTTCTCATAAAAGATTTTATATTTTGTAAATTAAAAGACCCAACTCTCAAAATTATCATGCACATGATAAAGCCTAGTTCAAGGCCGAATTTCAGAATTAAGCCCAAGCTCCATATAAAAGGCATCATCTTATCGTTATCATCAAAACCAATCACATAGATAGATATCAATAAAAGAAAGTGGCGACAACTGACAAAACCGATAACTGATTTTGGTCCACCATAAAGTTACACTGACTAGAGACATGTGATTTCGAGAAAATGGACCCTTTTGTTTATCCTACTGTTTTAAGTGCCTTGTTCGTTATGTACTGTCCACGATCTGGTTACGACATGACATATTACATATCCATTGCGCTGTCCTGGTCGGAGTTATTGTTCAATTTAGGGTTTTAACGGAAGCCCGAGACATTACTATTATATAAAAAAAAAAGGGCAATAAAACGAAGCATGGATGACAAAATCTTTTAGGAGTGCCCTCTTTGGCAATTTTGAATGAAAGTACATGTCCCTATACTAATCAAAACTCACGCTCTCATATTTGGCATGTGCATACCTTGTTTCCTTTCACAATATTATTCACAGAAAGATTCAACAAGATAGCATTGAAAATAAAGTATCTAAATTCGAAATGAGTTTGGGATTGTCGATTATACCAAACAGTAATATCATGGAGGCATCCAGCTCCAAGAAATTGCATAAAATTTAATAGACAGTAAACCAAAAAGAGAGTGATATAGCTTAATAGGTTTCTCGTTTTTTCTTATGTTCCAAACATGAGATTACTCAATTATTTGAACGACATTATTTCAGTGAGATGATAAAATTTGAACTAATAAAGGGTTCAAAATATTTCCATCACATCTACTTTTTTAGTAGGGACTGCTTCTATAATCAACATCAACTAGCCGTGAGTCTATTTGGTCATTATTTATCTAATGATTGTTTTGACTCGGATTTGATTTATTACAAGTTAATATTACTTACAACTGACTGGAAGAGAGCGATGAAAGCGTTATGATTTTGGGGCAGTGAAGAAATCCTAACAGCTAAAAGCTCACGCCTATTTTCTTACTAATAATTTATACATCAGTTTTCGTCAGGTCCTAATTAACTAGATGCAACTAGTCTTCCTAAAGAGTTTTCATCTGAGATTGTCTCTAGCTCAACTTTTTGAAACCAATATGCAAATATCACCAATGAAGGAGTTTACAGTTATCGAGAATCGGATTTATAAGCTTTTATCTGGCTGGTTCAAAGCATTGGGAACCCGTGGAGCATTTCAAAACACGTTTGTGAAATCACCTATTTTTTGGTGACTAATCCCCTATATATATATCAATGAGAAACGTTTTTTTTTTTAAATCCATATTTATATTAATTCAACCCGAAAATCGGGAATTCAGTTTCGGTTACAAACTTGAATTCAACAAAAGCTCCCAAGTCAAACTATTACATTCTAGTTTCGCCCACCCACTAACCCCGGCACGTTCCACTAGTCTGATTTTGGAAATTCTTAGGAATTGGTTGTTGTTCTCAACCATTGACAATGATCGTGGGAAGGTGAGGTTCTCCTCGTTGCCTCGGATGCCAGGACTTCCCAGATCGTCTCCGGAGTAGCTAGCTTCCGATGAATGCCTCAAAATTTGTAACCGTTGGTTAAACGTTTGCGTCTTGCTTTGTAGATATATTTGTGTCTGCTAACCAGGCTCGGGCATTTTCTAGAAGTGCATTTGCACTGGAGTTCAAAAAAGTTTCAAAATCCAGGGATCTTTTTGCAAAACTAAATAATGAGATAGGTCTGATTGGGCATCAATCAAAACGGGCTATCTATGTCTGAGTTTTAGCAGTAGCTAGGGTCAGTTAGTTTTGGCTAGGATTGTATATTTATATAATATTATAGCTAATGAGTTCAATATCTTGGGAGTTGGTTCCAGGATGATTCTGGTAGACTGGTAGTGGTGAGAAAAGCTCACCTACACCTAACCAAGAAATCTTGACTCTAGGAATGAAAAACAGTCTTTAAAATCACCAAACCAGACTAAAAACAGAAAGATTAGTATCATTTGTATGTGAGTGAATGGAATTGAAATCTAATGTAATTATAACATGATGGAAATTGGAATAGGTAGGTCGTTTGGTTGTAATGTGTGAAAAAGAAAAATCGTAGCACAAAAAACGTGTGCATTATGCATGCATGATAGTGCAAATTGCACTTATTACACTCAGGTTCTGGACCGTACACTGGTAAGAGATGACCAGTTTCGATTTGGATCTTTATGAATAATAATAAAAAAATAAGAATCATAGCAATGAACAAATTAAATATGTGCATAAATATCATCGCCAAGTAAGGGAGGAAGCAGAACCAAAGATAAACAAAAGCAATGGAGTTTGTTGATCGATGTATGCAAGCAAAAGCTTTCGACCAGACAAAAGCTGGAGTGAAAGGTCTTGCCGATTCTGGAATCACAGAGATTCCTGCCATGTTCCATGCACCTCTCTCTGCTTTAACAAGCCTGAAACCACCACCTTCGCAGCTAACTATCCCCACCGTCGATCTTAACGGAGGAAGCTTGTGTTGCAAGAAACAAGGCATGCGGAGGAGTAGCGTGGTGGAGGAGATTGGAGAAGCATCTGAGAAATGGGGTTTCTTCCAGGTGATCAATCACGGTATACCCCTCGAGATGTTGGAGAGGATGCTCCAAGGGATTCGTACGTTTCATGAACAGGACTCGGAAGCTAAGAAACGGTTCTATACTCGTGATTTCAGTAACGACATTTATTACGCTAGTAACTTCGATCTCTACACTTCTCAGGGTGCAAGTTGGAGAGACACTGTGGGTTGTTATACCGCCCCTAACCCTCCTAGACTAGAGGACTTGCCTACGGTTTGTGGGTAAGCCAATATGATTACTAAAGCATTAATCAATGTCCATATAATTGGTCCTGAATTTTTAGAGATCATAATTTTTTAGTAAAACATTTAATAATCATTTAAAAAAAAATTAGAGTCTATGTCTATGTATATATATATATATTTTTTTTCTTAATTAAAAATTTGGAGGTCACTACTAATGTTTCACTAGATTGTGTCCAAAACCAGTCATGATTAGGAATGATATAATACTAAAGTTGAATTGCTTAGCATGAATATTTTTGTTTTTGATGTGGCAGGGAGATTATGTTGGAGTTCTCAAAACACATGAAGGCTTTAGGTGAACTGCTCTTCGAGCTTTTATCAGAGGCTTTGGGGTTAAACTCTAGTCACCTCAAGGACATTGATTGTGCCAAGTCTCAAGTGATGTTTTGCCAATACTACCCACCTTGCCCTCAGCCTGACCTAACTTTAGGCTTAAGCAAGCACACCGATTTTTCGTTTCTCACCATTCTACTTCAAGACAGTATTGGAGGGCTTCAAGTTCTCCATAACCAAACTTGGATTGATGTTCCTCCTGTCCCTGGAGCTCTGGTGGTTAACATTGGAGATCTTCTCCAGGTTAATTAACAATCATAATTTCCTTAAGTTCTAGCTTCATTTCATCTATGGTGGTTATATATGGTTTGATCTCTCTCTTTTTTTTTTTTTTAATATACTATGTGCAGCTTATAACCAATGACAAGTTCATAAGTGCTGAGCATAGGGTGGTAGCGAATGGATCTTCTGTACCGCGGATTTCAGCGCCATGTTTCTTCAGCACGTTCATGAAGGCGAATCCTCGTGTCTACGGGCCCATCAAAGAGCTTCTGTCTGAAGAAAACCCTGCCAAGTACAGAGACTTAACCATCAACGAGTTTGCAGATATCTTCAGGTCAAAGACGATCAGTACTCCTGCGTTACATCACTTCAGGATCTAAAGCATGTTGTGAATCAGTATCTTCTTTGACAAAATCATGGTTTGTCTCTCTCTATGTAGTATTTGTTGTGGCATTACGTGTCTTCTGTCTCCTTTGTACGACATAATAATAATAATCATGCACAACTTGTTTCTCCATCTCATGCTTGTTGGATGATACAACAAATGAGTATGCAAGAACAACACCTGCAACCTATCTCTCACCTAAACCAAAAAACCAGTTTAGCTAATTGAATTCTCTCTACAAATTCTCCTTCTTTTCCTCCTCATGGGGTAATGTATTGGTGTAAAATCAAAACCATTTCGTTTACTTATCAGAAATGGATTCTGGTATCCAAGAACTTGAGTTCTCTCATCTTCATATCCCTGTAACCATCAAAAACAAGTGTCTTGTACATCCATCAAGCCCAACTCCTGCAGATCAATCTCCTCACCATAGTCTCTATCTTTCAAACCTTGATGATACAGTCGGAGCACGTGTCCTCACTCCCTCCGTTTATTTCTATCGATCAAGCAATGACCAAACCAAAAACAAAGAATCTTTTGTACTTACACGGCTTCAAGATGCTCTTGGTGAGGTTTTAGTTCCGTATTATCCACTCTCCGGTAGGTTAAGAGAAGTAGAAAATGGGAAGCTAGAAGTTTTCTTTGGCGCAGAGCAAGGTGCGTTGATGGTGTCAGCGAGTTCTTCAATGGCCTTAGATGATCTTGGAGATCTCACAGTGCCAAATCCTGCTTGGCTACCATTAATATTTCAATATCCAGAAGAAGAAGCTTACAAAATACTGGAAATGCCGTTACTTATAGCTCAAGTAACGTTTTTCACCTGTGGTGGGTTTAGCCTTGGGATCAGACTCTGTCATTGCATATGCGATGGTTTTGGAGCTATGCAGTTTCTTGGCTCCTGGGCTGCTACTGCCAAAAACGGGAGATTGATTGCAGATCCTGAGCCGGTTTGGGATAGAGAAGTTTTCAAACCAAGAAACCCTCCAATGGTGAAGTATACACATGATGAGTACCTTGCAGTTGAAGAAAGATCGAATCTGACGAACTCTCTGTGGGCAACGAAGCCATTGCAGAAATGTTACAGGATAAACAAGGAGTTTCAGTGTCGGGTTAAAAGCATTGCTCAAGGACAAGACTCAAGCTTAGTTTGCAGCTCGTTTGATGCAATGGCTGCACATATATGGAAATCATGGGTCAAAGCACTTGATGTGAAGCCATTAGAATACAATCTCAGGCTCACGTTTTCCGTCAACGTAAGAACAAGACTCGAAACCCTCAAACTGAGAAAAGGCTTTTACGGTAACGTGGTGTGTTTGGCTTGCGCTACTAGCAGTGTCAACAATGTTATGAACGATTCTCTTTCCAAGACAACCAGGCTGGTTCAAGAGGCGAGGGTTAGGGTTACAGAGGATTACTTGCGTTCTATGGTGGACTACATGGAGGTGAAACGGCCAAAGAGGTTAGAGTTTGGAGGGAAGCTGATGATAACGCAATGGACCCGGTTTGAAATGTATGAGACAGCGGATTTTGGATGGGGTAAACCGGTCTACGCAGGACCAATAGACTTGAGGCCTACGCCACAGGTTTGTGTATTGTTACCTCAAGGAGGAGTAGAGTCTGGTGGTGATCAAAGCATGGTGGTTTGCCTTTGTTTGCCTCCTGCTGCTGTTCATAATTTCACTCGGCTTCTATCTTTAAAATGATTTGAAAAGCCAATGATGCAACAATAATAAAAAAGAAGCCATAATTAAACATATTATCACATGATTTTAGTATTCAGTTCTTGCAGTAACAGCAGTTGATTTTATTCCGACAACTGTAAATACTCGAGAAACAAGTCACAGAAGAAATCACCACGAATCACTTAAAAACAGCACGAGAAAGCCACAAACAAATAAAAAGACGATTTGGTGAAGTTCAAGGCCAAGGGTGTTGATGATCTTACATGGATCCGACTGTACAAAAATTAGTTCAAGGCCAAAGTGTTGATCATCTTTATACATTTACAAACTCCAGAACGCTTTCGGGACTTTTGACAACTATATTTACCTGTTCACACCAAACAATTAGGAAGATGATAGCAACGAGGTTAGCTTCTCTCAACTATATTTTTTTTAGACAATAAATAGCATAAGGGTTGAGAAAGAAGATTCACCATAGAGATTTATACATAGACCCGAGGCTTAGAGTGTGGTTCCACGAGATTTAATCGCCGACAAAAGAAACCATACCACATACCATCTCGTCTCCTTGTAGTTTCTCTGTGTTGCCGTTGACGTTTAGATGACCATTTGTAACTTCATCTGAGTTCTTCAAGTGTTCTTCTTTTGAATCTGCTACTGCTTTACAGTGTTCTTCAACCAAAGCAAAACTTAAGTTCACCGGAGAATTTTCTGTAGAGATCATTTGTTCATTGACAGTAATATCTTCATAAATAGGTTGTGTCATGAAGCCATTGGTGATAAGCTTCTCCATCTGGGTTTCTTCAAGCGCATAGAGTTCGGCTGTTACAGGTTTCTCAACAAACCCATTTGTGTTGTTCTTCTCTGTTTCCTTGTAGAACCCATTTATTGTAGGGTAAAGGGTTAAAGAAGACTTGAATGAGTTGTTCATGTGATCCGACTCATGGAAATTATCCATATGCTTTTTTGAACCTATTTCAATTAAACTAAATGGTTACTCGCGCATAACTTGAAAGGAAAACGACGCTATCTAAGTATAAGGTGACGAATAAACACTTAAATATTTGACTTACTCTCTTCAGAACTTTCAGCAGACTCTACTGATCCTGGCTTCGAGTGACAGTTGATTATATCTTGGCATATCTTTCCGTTGGCTTGGTAAGTTCCCAATGCAGATGTTTGATAACATTTCATGGAAAACCTATGCCAGACGTTCCATGATTCAAAGCATAAGATATTGATCAGGCAACATATTGATCAGGTAACATAAAAGAGGAAACTTGGAAAAAAGAATACATAGGATGGGTGAGTAAAGCAAGCAAGAATTCTTCTCCAACTAGAAACTTTCGTATAAGAAAAGCATAGTACAAGAAGACAGTAAATAATTGTCCAGCTTTAGGGATTACCTCTCCTCCGACGTTGCTTTGGTGCTGTGGAAATGGTCAAAAACTGGCAGCAGTTTTTTCTGTTTTATTTCAAGTTCATGGGCTGGGACGCTTTCTATCTCAAACTCTCCACCAGTGGAACTATTATCTTTTGGAGAGTCCATCACGTGAAAAGAAATCTAACATCATATTATGATACCAAAAAGTCAAGAGACTGGTACAGTTATAAGCAAGAAAGAAAGAGAAAGTTTGACAAAAATACCTTCGAATTTTGCCACACTGGTAGTATCCCTGAGGTAACCTTTACCTCAAAGTTAGAAAGATAGCTATGGGATCTTTCAGGGGCCTTCTCAAAACAAGTTTTCAAATACCTATCGTCACCACTGTTGCCATTGGTGTCAAGGGAAAGACATGCATTCTCATGGATTGGTAAGTTACTCGACCCTGTATCCAAATGGTATTGCTTTTCAGTGATACTTTTGGGAAGTCGTTCCTCTGTTTCCAGCCAGTCAGACCTTCTACATACATCCCACCACTGGATAGGCTCAACTTTGACCCTCAAGTCGTCCTCATGAACTTGAGCATGTGATGCTCTTTGCACTCTCAAACCACTTTCAGGTGATCCTGTGCAAACAGATGGCAGAAGTTCATGCTGCACCACATGGCCTGATGGAGTATATACTAAGATATGCTCCAATGAGTTAGACCGCGAGTTCTGCTGAAGTTCATGAGTAACAGACTTGTGAAAAACAGCAGCCACAGCACCCGATGGTACAAAAACTTTGCCAGTTGCAGCAGTGGCAGCATTGCTTACTGTGTTAAGCCACCCAAAACTGCTATACTTTATTCTGCTTACTACAGAAAGGGCTACAGCCGGTGGTGGCGATGAAGACTGATGATTAATTGCCAAATTTTGAGAATTCCACCACGGAAAAGTTGAAGCTGAAAGTCTGGAAGGTTCTTCACCCTCACAATTTAAAGGTAGCAACCCAGCATCGCTGCCAGAGGGGTTTAAAACGAAAATATGGCAAGTACCCTTGGATGAAATAATAGCCACCCACTGACTGTGACGACTAAAGCAAATGTCCTGGACAATCTGTTAAAAGGGGTAGACATTTTCCAATCAAGAAAGCCGCATATTTAAAAGAAATGAAATATATCAACTTAAAGGAATACTAACCGCTGAAGTGATCCCTCTATGCAGCTTGAAGAGGTGCACATGAGAAGTGTCACACTCATAGCTTAGGTCACCAGATGCACTATGCGAGCGAGATGGCATGATCTGAAAGACATTGATATTGTTTCCACACACTGAAGCAGTAACCAATAGGGTTCCACTAGGATCAAAACAAAGAGCTGAGACAGGACTCGTATGAGCCTTGAACTGTGATACTACAGCTCCGGAAACAATATCTTTGACAGCAACCTGTTAAACGAACATTCAAAATGTGTCACAATCTGGCAATGAAGTAATCTAAAACACTAGCAAGGGTACAAAGCTTGAAGCACGTGACTATTAAATAAGATTTTTGATTCAGGAACCTAGTAAGAAACCATGTGGAAACTCTGTACTTTGATGTATCTTTCCCACGGCTGAGTAATTACTATTAGACGACTCTAGTGGAAAGGAATTGTGTGACCCAAGAATTGCTCACAATGTTCAAATACAGAATAAAACTAACCATTCCAGCATTCTCTGCATCCGATCCAGCAACCCCACCAACTTTCCAAATTGAATTTGGCGACGCTGGAGAACTAGATCCATCAGGGAGCATTTCTTGGTAGTATTTTGACAATGTTTTATATCCCATGTCCCCCAAGTTAAGCAGTCCATTGGCTAACTGCTTGCTAGACTCCATGGCATAACGGGCCATCACGCTACTTCCACCTGTCGAACTACTTGGACTGACACTGGGTGAAGAAGCAAAGCTCTGTGGGCTTAGGCGCCCTGTTTTAATGGTTATGGCACTGTTGGAAGCATATGCAAGCCACCTTGGACCTACAGCCATCGGACCATAGCCAACATTAACCCTAGTTGTCCCTTGTCTCACTGGCTGAGGAACAGGATAGGTGAGAACACTGAACTTATTTTCCAGAGTAAGTGCGTCAAAGCAATATATCTGCATAAACCAAATAGAAACCATTAGTGTAGGGTGTGAGGAAAAAAAGATAAATCTGTTACACTCATGTATAACCTTAAACTTGGCCTATAGGTGCTATGTTCAATTGAAAAGGTTAGCAAGACCAAGTACCAAAAACTTACCATTTCAAACAAATACTGTAAGATGAAATATTATTGGTACTGAAGAATTTTATTTCACAAGAATCAGAACATCTTAAAGATTACTGATACTCACTTGAGTAGCAAGGCCAACAGCTACTACGCGGGAGCTGCATCTAATCATGCAAACAGACGATCGAAATCTCAGGACATATACATAACTGTGAGACCTGAGGGAGTAAAAGCGAACAGTGGTTGGACAACTTGTGGCATCTGCGGATGAGTCTACTCTACCGTCTCTGGCTAATGAACCATTATGGTTAAAGCTTTGACCCGAACCCGTGCCAGTTGAGTCATCCCCCGCAACAACCAGCAGAAGCGGATGTGAGTTCCAAAAACCCTCATTATCACCAGATCTTGCAGGTAATGGCTGCATCTGTAAAAGTGAAACCGGGCCACCACGTTTAGAGACCAGTTCATTAAAGTTAGAGGCATCCTCAACATCAAAGACTTGAAAGCCATTCTGGTAACCGAGTAAGAGAACATGTCTGGTGATATGTTGACTCAGCTCAAGAATGCCAAAACCAGCCCATGTCACCTGCTCATGAAATCAAAGTTCAGATGTTTGTGTACAGAACCTCTAAAATAGGAAAAAAGGAGTTATCGATTCTCCAACATAAGAAAACAAGGGAAGAAAATGCCTACAAAATCCACCAAGAGAAATTTGCAGATTAACGAACTAAGGCTATTCATTCTGAGAATATTTAATCTATGAAATTACCAAAGCTGCTGTATACGAAGCGAAATCTATATAGAAGGATAAGAATATCACACAAGGTAGATGAGAGATGCAGATAAAGAAGATAGCAGAAACACAGGCAATCCATGTAACTACTACTCTAATCCATAATTGAGAATATTTCAATCCCCATGTCACAGAGTTTCAAAATCATACCAGAAAAGAAGCGGTTGCAATCTGTTACTAATCCTATGTATCTCAGTTCCTTTTACATACACAACAACTTAAAAGCTAGAATATGCGAAGAGTCAACCCACCAACCACCACTTCACTAAGGATTCTAAACAGGAAACAATCCCAAACTCGTCAAAGCTTTTAAACAATATAACAAAATAGTAAAATCAAGAGACCTGATCCTTATCATCTTCCGCAGAGGAAATCGAAGCGGCGACGGATGCTCCAGCGGAACGAACGGAGGAGGCAACGTTGGTGGCGTTAGCCGAAACAGTTTTAAGGCAAGAAGAAATAATCTTAAAGGAAGAAGGCAACAAACCACTATTCTTCCCTTTCCCTTTCTTCATCATCTTTTCTAAAAACCAAAACTAACCACCTAACAACCAACAAACAAACTCTCTCTCACAACCAATTCAAAAATAACTGAACAAACAAAAAAAAT